ATATGTGTATATCGAGCCACTACCACCGAATCTAATTGGCATACACATTAATACAGGTACATTAACAGAGGCTGCGATTAATTACCCGTCCGTGACGCGCAACGCAGTCCAAAGTATTCCCTGTACGCTAATAAATTGAGTTCACGCGCGGTAGCGTGAGGGATGCACAATTAAATAGCGAGCAAAAATAGGGCGGCACTACTTTTTCAGACGTGTCAAGCGTAATTCACACGTTTCTTTCTTTTTTTTTTTTTTTTCTTCCCAGCGCGGAAATTTTTCTGCACCACGTGACACGATCCGGTTGCGTTAACTAAATCTGAAATTAGTTGGCAGTTTCGTATTAATCGTGTTGTGCGCCGTGCACGCTCGCGCGATCACTGACGTGCTTGCTCTTCCATCACGTCGAACACATCGCACCGAAATGGTGTATTACTGTGTCGCGGATGTAATCACAGTGCGTGAACGTGTAAATCCAAAGCGATTCGCCACACCAGTTGCGAGATGAGAGCGCACGGTGGGAGAATTTGCGCGTCGCTATTTTTCCGAATTTGCGGAATATTATATTTGTATCGTCGCCTTCGAATTCGCCCTGGGAATAATGTCTATCGCCTTTAATACTCGTAATCGAGTATCCCTCATGATCTCCGCCCAATGGCGCTCACGAAATGTTCATGGTTTGCTCCAAAGAAATATGGCATGTCGGACTGAGATGTGCTTAATGGCGCGATTAATACGTATTTCACAATGAAGTGGTGGATAATAATTTTTAGTACATGAATAGCAGTTAAAAGCCTGCCTCAATTAATACCTTAATAAGTAACCTAGTGCATTTATATTTCTTTTAAAAATTTCATTTTTAGAAATAAATTACTAGAATATATTATTAGGCAATCATTATTTGTAATTGCAAATTCCTAATATGGGCTGCCATATGTATTTTCATGCTTCAAAACACATAAATATTTCAAAAGAGACTATCACAACATGTACATTTTAAAAACACTTTTTATCATAATTTATGCAATATTTACGATAAATATTACATTTCGAATGCGCTTGGGACTTTTGAAAAACATTAGAAAATTGTTCTAAATTTTTACAGTTGCTATCCAAAAAAAAATATTAATAAAGTTAACAGCTGGCTAAAAACATAGTTGACCAACATAATACAATACAACTGGTTAAATACGACCGGTGTATAGTTGAGAATTAGTAGTATTTCGCTATATTTGATAATATTATAACCCAGAGTGAATTTAATTATCATGCGTATAGCTGATAATGCGTACACAAATTATTACTCATCTTATAATTGTTATCATCTCTGTGAACATTTATTACACATAATACATAATATATCGTACCCAACATGCGGAATATTTGTTATGAATAATTAATACTACAGAGATACATTATATGGAAAATGATACGTAATTCACTGTTTTTTTCAGAAACTTTATTCCTATCTATAGTATTCTTTTCTATAATATTCTATGACTAAGATGAATATCTCTAAATAACGATGGGTTATCAAAGTTTGTTGTTTTAAAATATCAATTTTAAGTTTGTCGATAAATTTGTAGTAGTAGTAGTGATAACTCGAGAATATTATTACTGTTTATACTGTTGTTGTTATTATTATTATTATTATTATTATTACGATGAAATTTTTAAATGAGTTTAGAGCTATCTAATTTAGATATTTCAACAGGAAGATATAACGGAAAGTTATACGCGCTACATGATTTTACATGATTACAAGAAATGCTACGTAAGCGACTGGAAAAGAGAAAGTGTACAAGGTTTAAATTAGGACCGCGAGAGAGAAAACCGTCGCATAGATAGAACCACTTTACAGCGCCGTTACTTTTAATTAGAGCAGCCAGATGTTCTATTTCAGAACGATTAGTAGAGCGGAGCCAAAGACTTAGCAGCAATTTTTGCCCATTAAGGCTTCCGCAAAGATCTCCAGAATGATGTTGCATGAGAAAAAGAAACATAAAAATCTCAATCTCTCTCTTGGAACCAGATATTATCTGTATATAGAAACATGTCCCCATCATCGTTCTTTTAATAATTTTTTTTTTAAGCGATACTTATTACGCAGCCGATATGGAAACAAAGATGAATTCAGAAACACTCACCTTTCGGCTATTTCCATCTTTAGGGTTCAGGTCCGAGGCAACTGTTCCGAAAATAGTTGGCTGAAACAGAAATTCGTAAAATTCGTTAATAGTCTTAACACTTTACAACTTTGTAAATACATTTGAAATCTAAAAAAACAAAAAAAAATATATATATATATAATGCGAGTTTAATAATTATAATAGAATCATATAATTAATAATAATAATAGTTTTGATAATCAAAAGAATGGCGAAAAAATAATTAATCTGTTGCTATTAATTAAAATAGCTAGATCTAGTTAAAAGATGCAATTGTCGATATCAAATTTTCTCTTAACACTTTTATTATCTTGCGATAATTACAAACAAAATATAAAAAATTTCAATTTTATATAAATTCCTTTTATATAAATCTCCCTTGAATTGTTAGACAAGTCAGTATAAATGTCAGTCGATAATTAAAGTGGCCAATTAATTATATCACGTAGCAAATTTATTTTTTATCATTTGCAAAGCATAACTTTTGCTTCATTCAATTCAATTTTTATATGTAACCGTAATAAATTGAAAACATCTTGCTATTATCTATTTGGAATTAAACAACAAATCGTATAACTGTCTGAAATTAACAATAAACGTTACGTTTCGCAAAATTATCGAGCTATAGCACGGTTGCGATAAAACTACAAATTACAAAATGTCGTTATAAAATTACGACGCCTCATAAATTCAGAGATTTCATTTAGTAGTTGCAAATCGGCTATTGACTGCTCTCGACCGGCGAATATGTTGCAGCATTTAAGCAGATTAAATAAGATAATATGATGTAATTAAATTCAAAATGCATGTACAAAATATAGACGGATAAAAATGTACAAATATAGTCGGATAAAAATGATATATTTTTAGTTATTAAATGATATGTATGATTTAATATTAAATGATAGTATTAAATGATATGTGACAGATATAAATAGTATATGTGACAGATATAAATAGTATTTTAAAGAGCATTAAAAGGTTCTTGATAGTAAAATACATCTTATAATAATTTAATTTCTCACTTTTGAAGATGTTTTTCTCTCTTCTTGTTATTCAAATATGGTCAAAGATCCATAAAATTCCCCCTTTCCTCTTTAAAGCTTTTCTTTCACATCAAGCAAATAAGTATCAAATTTCTATACTTACACAAAAATTTTTCAATGATTAGTCAAATTTCATTTTAATTGTTAATTTGACATAGCGCATCATATTAGTTTCAAATTTGCAAAACTGTTTTCTTTAAAAAACATTTCAAATAAAGTGTAACTAATAATTAATAATTAATAATTAATAATTAATATCTTAAAAAGAGGAAATTGCTCATATTAAATATTTTAAATTATTCTACATTTGTTTACTTTCAAAATGTATTATGACTCTTATATAACTCTTGAACTTTAATGTATCATAAAAGCACTAAAAACTACATCTTTCTATTTTAAACAGAAAAAAAAAACATATAAGGAAAAAAATAGTCTGTTTATTGATATATTATTTTATATAGTATATCAATATAGTATTTTATAGATGTGTGCATACATATATATAAAGAAATATAATATATATAACTCTTTTCTTCAAAAAAAGACCATTTCTTCAGGAAAAATTTGTACGAATATATATGTTTAATGTTATATAGCATATGTTTATATAGCACATAATAATAATAATAATTACCCCTTTATATTTAATAGTACCATTGATATTATAATCTTATAATGTGCTCACACAATCGTAATGACAATATTAATTTTCTGAAAATTATATCGCATATGTGTCACGACTATTTGGTCGCTCGCGGTTGAATCATCTCGCAACGTTAATTTCAATAAATTATTACATCCGATCCCATTAGATAATTTAGGCATTTAACGCGCCACATATTTTACACGATTACCGTTTACAAATTTTACCGTCGAACTGTATTGGCAACGAACCGTCGACTGTTACTCGATCCACTCGCTTAATTTCAGATCAGCCAAGCCACAGTCAATATTTTATGAGGCTTAATGAAAACTGTCAACGCGACGACAGCTTTGATAAATAAAGCCAGTTTTTACACCCGTCCGACGATACGGGTGGCCGTTCTCTTCAAGTTTTAATGCATCGTCCGTCCGTTGCAACGAAATTAAATCGCTCATACAAAGTGACGCTCTAAATTTCTTTGTGTATGTCTAAACTAAATATCTATGCATGCTACATATCCATATATTTTTATCTTATATCTCTTTATCATAAAAAATGATAAAGAGAAACGTCTCACACTATGTCTATTATTGCTTTATGTTAATCTGCGTTCGTAACAATAAATAAAATTCTTTATTACTAAACAGTGATAATCGTCTCTGCA